AGCCACCTATAACAAGTTAACAACAACTGGAAGCAGCGATATGTCTAAGCAATAACCTTAATTTAGCACCAGTATTGTCAGGAAAATGATCTTGCTGAAAGTAAACAAGTAACCTTTATTTAAATAAAATTAAAAAAAAATTGAAGAGCTTAAAGTGAATTTTGTCATGCAGCGTAGACTAATGTCTGACAAAGCATTACTCTCTACAGTTGTTGAACTATGGCTGGCTGTCCTATCCCACCACCCTCCCTCAATAAACGGCTACTGAAACATTTGCAATATAAATAGGTAAATGTCATAACCATAGATTATATTATAGCATCTTACATTTATTCATGCAACAAGTCTTGATCATCTTGCAGACAGATGGGTAAACAGAAGGAGGAAGTGCAAGATAGAAAAGCCTTCGAGATGAACCCTCTACGCTGTTTTTCGAATATTCATGCTGTGAAATCTCTTTATCCAACAAGCGAAAGCCATCCTCAGAATCATAAGAGCCACTTACATATTTGATCTAACAGGAAGAAACAGGGAGACAAAGAATAGTCATTTTAAATCCACCAAAAGAGTATTATGCAGTGAGACCATTACACAAATTGGTGCTAACCAGCTGTAAAAACTTGTCTACATCCCCCAACTGCTGGGGGGAAGCACCTTTGTCTGAAACAAGATAGCTGCACATCAAGTCATATTTATTAGGCTTACAGACAGTTCAAACATGTAAACTAATAGCATAGGTGGAAGTATATTAAAAAACATTTTTGTGAAAGAAGCAGAAGACAAAAATTGATAAGTCTTGAGAAAAAATGATCATCTTTTACATATTTCATAAGTCTTGAGAAAAAATGATAAGAAGTCTCACCCACGCAATCGGTCTCTCAATTCATCATCAGAGATTTTTGTCCTTGCATAGCCAAAAATATGAACTTCATCTGGTGTTAAGAAACCCTGGGGAAAAAAAAAAAAAAAAGAAGACACCAAATGTTGGAAACAGTTGCTTTAAGGGAAACAATCAACTACTCGAAAATATTCTGAGAATTTTTCCGCAAGAAGACAAACTAGGAATAGACATTTGATGTCCAATTAGCATGTAGAATAAATGAGCAGAATTTGGTTAAAGAAAAAGAAAAATTGAGCTAGTGCTTGTTCAGAGTCACAATATTTTGAAACATTCTGTTAAGGGTCCCTTTATTTTTGGATGTATAAAAAGGAGCCTGAAGTCCCTCACTAAATAACCTCTGCAGAAGAATACACCAGATAAATCAGGTAACAATCATTTGTTCCATGATCATCGGCATCATTATCCCTCACTAATACAAGAGTTCTATATCACACAGTAGTCAACATGTTCCACCAAGATTCTGCTTTACCTGCCGGTATAGGTGGAAAAGTGCAGGAAATGTCTTCTTCTTAGCAAGATCACCAGAAGCACCAAGAACAACAATAGATAGTGACCCAATTTCAGGCACATTCCCTGCCTCTCTTGCTAAAGGGGAATCAGTGCCAAAGCTAGATCTTCGTTCAATATGCCATTCATTTGTTCCCATTCTCTAGCAGCACCGGATTACTAGATCTACTCTGCAAAATATTGGTAATTGGTGTGATCAAATTACCATCCGGAATCAAAGAATAAGCTAATATCGAAGCATATATATACATATATATATATATATATATCAGCAAATAAAAAGAAAAAAGAAAAAGAAAAAGAAAAAGAGCTAACATCCAAAGTTGATTCTATTGATAAAAGTAAACTGAATAATGACAGTGCCCAGAATTCAGAAAGCAATAGGGATGATACCAATTTACCACAACATAGAAACATCCAATTGGGAGTCAGACAAACTATCATCAATCCATGAAGTAACATATCAACATATCCAAATAAGTACCTTTTGGAACTGTGCAAGAAGTCCAAATCTCAATTAGGTAATCACAAACCAAAACAAAAGAAACAACCCCATCAAACGATCATGTTCTGAAATTCACCAAGAAGGGGGGCAAAAGAAAAGCCTTGAGAGCAAGTTTGCCAAAGTGAAAGTGGAATACAGAATTAATTTAGAATCAATCTTGAAAGCAAAATAAATATACAAATAAAAGGTCCATGCACATGGATCATGAAACAAAAAGGGTGATTCACAACACATGAAAGGAACAAGATGAAGAATTGTACCAACTACCAAGTGATGCAGAGTTAGCTGAAACAGTACCTGGTTTTGATGCAAAGATGTTTTGTTTGGGAGAGAGAAAGAGAAGAGAGGCTTTTAATGTTGTAAACTCAAAACAGTTGCTGTTCGCTTCACCAACTACCTCCTTAGTCATTGTTCTCCAGATACCTCGTGGGTCAGAGCACCCCATTGCTGACGCATATTCACTTCTTTTAGTTATTTCTGTATTTCCCCTCCGTTTTCTGTTATTTCTGTTCAGACCCCTATTTTGCAACATGTCTCATGCCGCTTATTTAGACTATTATGCTTCTGTCACTTTTTTCTTTTTCGGTAAAAAAGTAAAAATTGCAGGGTTTATTTTTTTCACTGACAAACAATTCACCTTTTTGAACTTTGACAGTTAAGAAGACTGTAAGTACAAACGGTAAACTAACCCGAAGGGATTTTCTTTTTGGGTTTTTCTACCCTGTATAACTATTTATACTTATGTAAAAAGGCGATTTTTTTATCACATTATTTTAATAATTTTAACCTTTTATAAAAAATTACATGATAATAATTAAAACTATATTTGTTCTTATATATAAGACATAAATATTTAATTTATCAAAATAAAAAGAATTAGTTAATTAAGATGTTAATAATAATTTTTTTTCTTCTATTTTTAAACTATCTTTATAGTGATTTTTTAACTTATTAGAATATATGCATTTTAAAGAGTTTATAATTAATATATCTCACTAAATTAAGAGAACCTGTTTAAATTAGAGTATTTTAGTCTAAAAATTAATACATCAAACATTATGAATTAAATATTTTATATAAAAATAAATAATTATTTTAAGTTGAATCTTACAAATAAAAACAAAGATGATAAAAAAAAAAATTTATATAGAAATTTTATCCTTCAAACTATCTATAACTATTCTCATGAAATAAAAACACCAAAGAGACAGATACAAAATGATGAGGAATATTAAATATCTACATCAAAGCATTTCTCTCACCTAATTTATTATGAGATTTTGAAAAATATAAAAAAATTCACCCATTCTTTTAACCTCTTCTAAAAACATTGTATTTTATTAGTACTCACAATAAAACTTTTCATGTTACTTTAATTATTTTAGTTAATTATTATTATTATTATTATTATATATATATATATATAATATTATTGTCAGTAAGTCGTTTTGTTGCTTTTAACTTTTAAGCATTTAAAAGTAAAAGTTTTTTTTAATACTTATTTATTTTTTTACTAAAATAGTATGTGGTAATAATGTACACCCTTCTAATTTATTTATTCTTCTGCAAAAAAAAAAAAAAATTAAGACTACATGAATAGCTTTACTGTGAGTAGTATTAAAATACATTTTTTTTTCATAGAAGAGAGAGGTTAAATAAATATGAGGAAAAGAATTGTATTTTTCAGAATTTCATAATTAATTAGATGAGAAAATGTTTTAAAAGTGAATATTTAATATTTCCTTAATTTGTGAAAAATTGCACAGAATAGAAAAACTTTTTTTTTTTTTAAATAACGTTGCACGAATGGTACAAACAATTTTTATACCAAAAAAATGGTATCGCTTCAATTTATCAATTTTATTTTAATTGATTTATTCGATTTATCTTCTAATTTTTCATTTTGTATTAGCTTTGTTTTGTCATTATGTTGGAACAGTATTACACCGTATCGTTAGTTTGTCGCAATTTGGTTACCTTGTCAAAATCGAAACCTGTCATAATCAATTATCATAGAATTGCATACTCTCACCTATGAAGTAAAAAAGAATTATTTTCACTTATTCATAAATTAATAATTTCATGAATCTTTATGTGTTTTTTCTTTTCTTGAGAAATTTTCATTCGAATATGTTTTTTAAAAAAGGTAAAAATATTTTTTGTACTAAAACGTCATCTTAGAATAATAAATAAAAAATGTTTTAAATATATTTTCATTATTAGATGTTATTTAATGACATTGACACAAAACACTTTAACAATAAATAATATATTACAAAAAGAGTGAGCACAAATAATTTTTATTATTAATTTTTTCTCTCACAAATATGAAACATTATGAGCACCCGTCATAGTCACTACATTTACAAATCACTAACTAGTTGTGAAAAATAACTAATATACCTAAGATCAATATAATTACGACACCTAAAAATAGCATATATAAATGTATGGACATCAACTAGATTAAAGAATTATATGTAAATATATGAATAGTAATCCAATTGTGACAATAAATTAAGTCCTAAATTGTTGGTTAAACAATTACTAATAATTACAACTCCTACCAAAAGTAGTACTAAGCTACACACCAACAACATGGCCTCGCATACATCATCATCTAAACTATTTATGCTTTGCTTTCATGTAAAATGTAATGTAGTAAGTTAATTCAAAAGGCCCAAAAGCTCAGTATAGGTGATTTAGTAGTCCAGAACAGGTCGTTCTCAAAGTGGAACGGGCCGTTCCAAACTACTAAATTGACCTGTAAATCGTAGTTGAGAACAGGCCGTTCTAGATGGAGTACGGGCCGTTCTGGATGGAGTACGGGGCGTTCTGGAGGGAGTACGGGCCGTTTTGGATGGAGAACGGGCTGTTCTAGATGAGTTCGAGAACGGACTGTTCTGGTTTCAGAACGAGCTATTTTGCATGTGATTTTTTACACATGATGAAGAGGTGCAGAACGAGGATCATTTGGGTAGCTGGGAGGAGCTGTTACCATTGGTGGAATTTACCTACAATAACAATTATCACTCGAGTATTGGCATGACGCCTTTTGAGGCTTTGTATGGCAGGAGGTGTAGGACTCCATTATGTTGGTATCAGGAGGGTGAGTCAGTAGTGGTTGGTCCAGAGTTAGTTCTTCAGACTACTGAGATGGTGAGACAGATTCAGGAGAGGTTGAGAGCTACTCAGAATCGACAAAAGTCTTATGCTGATAAGAGGAGGAGACCTCTAGAGTTTGAGGAGGGAGAGCATGTGTTTCTCAGGGTGACACCCACTACTGGAGTGGGAAGGGCTGTAAGGGCCAAGAAACTCACACCGAAGTTCATTGGTCCTTATCAGATCCTTCGTCGTGTAGGTCCAGTAGCTTATCAGTTGGCGTTACCTCCGATTCTGTCCAACCTGCATGATGTGTTTCACGTTTCACAGTTGAGGAAGTACATCAGAGACCCGAGTCACGTGATAGAGATGGATGAGGTGCAAGTTAGAGAAAACTTGACTTACGAGAAGAGACCGGTAGCTGTAATTGATCACAAGTTGAAAGAGCTTCGAGGCAAGTCTATTAGCTTAGTGAAGATTCTTTGGGATGCAGCTACTAGTGAGGCAACCTGGGAAGAAGAGAGTCGGTTCAAGGAACAGTATCCATTCCTCTTTTCAGGTAAGCCTATTTTCGGGGACGAAAATTCTTATTTGTTGGGGAGTATTGTAACATTGTAAAAAAAAAAAAAAAAAAAAAGAGGCTGATTCAGTAGCCCAGAACGGGCCGTTCCCAAACTGGAACGGGCCGTTCCACACTACTGAATTGAACTACATATTGTAGTTGAGAACGGGCCGTTCCGGCAAGGAGAACGGGCCGTTCTAGGAAGGAGAACGGGCCGTTCCGGAGGGAGAATGGGCCGTTCCGGAGGGAGAACGGGCTGTTCCTGAGGGAGAACGGGCCGTTCTGGATGAGTCCCGGAACGGGCCGTTCTGTTTTCAGAACGGGCCGTTCTGGGCGTGGATTTTGTGCGTGATCTGGGAGTTCAGAACGGGCCGTTCCGGTATCGGTACGGGCCGTTCTGGCCACTCCGGATTGCCTATAAATAGGGGTTGAGGGGGGGCCGTGAGGAGTTATGGTTCTAGAGAGAAGTTTTAGAGAGAAGGTCTCTGGGTCAGTGAGCTCCTTTCTCTCCCAAATTTCTCTGTTTAACTCCTTTTCTCCTCTAGATCAATAACTCCTTCTGTCTTTTCTTGAATTTCAGATTAGAAAGCTTGTTTTGGGAGGACTGAAGTTTCGAGTTGAGCCTCGAGGGGAAATTATACTTTTGATTCAGTCTTTGGCTATCTGAGCCAATCTTCAGGTAAGGGAAGCTAGATTGTTTGCATGTGGCTGAATTTGTTAGTTTGGATGAGAATTTTGAACTCTCTGAATAGTTTTAGGCCGGGCGCAGGTTGAGCGTATCAGGCGTGGAAGAGCTTAGAGCTCTTGGGTTGGTGTTAGGCCAGGCGCGAGTTGACGGCACTGTGCTTGAATATATTTATGAATGAATTGATGCTTATGCATGTTTAAAGTTGAAGTTTTAGATCATGTATGTATGATATATGATGTATGGTGAGGTGTGATTCATATGTATGCTTTGTGATGATACGTATGAATGTTTGAATATGATATGACATGCGTATATGTTCACATGAGTATGATTGTTGATCATAATGGTGGGCAGACCATTATGATGTATGATGCATTATTGCATGTGATGTCTTATGACATGTGTATGATTGTTGATCATGATGGTGGGCAGACCATTATGATGTATGATGCATTATTGCATGTGATGTCTTATGACATGTGTATGATTGTTGATCATGATGGTGGGCAGACATTTATGATGTATGATGCATTATTGCATGTGATGTCTTATGACATGTGTATGATTGTTGATCATGATGGTGGGCAGACCATTATGATGTATGATGCATTATTGCATGTGATGTCTTATGACATGTGTATGATTGTTGATCATGATGGTGGGCAGACCATTATGATGTATGATGCATGATTGCATGTGATGCCTATGGCATGAGTCTAGCCTAGGACTTGAGGAGAGGAAAAATATTTTCGAACTGGAAGAGCTCACATATAGTCTCTTGAGAGTGGTGCTTGGATAGGCCACTGATATATGAGAGTGGTGCTCTGGGAGGCCACTGGATTTGGGAGAGTGGTGCTCAGATAGGCCACTGGGTTGGGTGAGTCTCCTCTAAGTCCTTAGCTAGTGTTGGAGCGGGGTATGAGGTCGAGGGTTATTCCCTTAACCAAGTACTCGGGAAGGTGCGTGGATCCTTGCGGATAGTCGGTGGGCGAACTCCACAATTGACTTGGTTAATGCATGCCAAGGTCGTGGTAAGCCCGTACCCAGCTGTGCTATACCTGACGGTGGATCTGGACTTCCAATTGTGTAAGTGACATCATCCGAGTAAACCCGAGGGAGGATTATATATCCTGTTTAGCTGTGACCGAGCGGGCGCATTGGGCGTGAAAACGGTTGGGGTGGTTTCGGTAGGATGGAATGTCACTTATACAGCTCTATTGTTGTGGAGATCTCCTAGGTGTATGCGTGACGACGCATTAGATGATTGATATGCATTGATATCTGTCATGAGATGCATTTATTGCATGATTATTAATATGATGAAGTGTGGTGTTTGACTTCATGATTGGTGGATTGTATTTTATGCATGAGTAGTATTGGATAGAGTGTATGGTGTGACTCTATGAATACGATTGTGTAATATAGATTATTATGATTCATTTGTGAATTCTAGCTTACCCTTCTGTTTCCATGTGGTGGAACTGCGATGATCATACTTGGTATGGGAGCAGATCAGGGCTAGCTTGGAGTCGAGGTGACCGCTGCGAGACGGGGAGTTTGATCCTCGTGTTAGGGTTACCATTTTGGGTAGCGATTTTTGTCTGTTTGACCGGCACTAGGAAATATTATTTTTGGGATGACTGTACATATATGGCATTTTATTTTGTATTTAAAGAATTTGGTTATTTTTATTCTTATCTATACCTGTATGTATGAGTTATCCAATTTAATATTTTCCTTAGTTCACTAGTAGTAGTGCGATTCCACTAAGTGTAGAGACCATGGCGGGTCGTTACACTTTTATGGTATCAGAGCCGGTCGAGTCTGTTAGGATGCTCTGTGGGGAGTGATCCTTCTATGTTTCTGTTGTGTCATATCTTTGATATGTGTTAATTTTGGTGAGTTGTAGTGGTAAAGTGTTAGTAAAAGAATGTTTGAATTCTTTTAGTATGGTGAGGTCTCAGTTTGATCATATCGCTAGAACTATGGAGATGATGGCCATAGTGATGCAATAGTAAAGTGCTTACTTTGCTTAGATGGAGGTGGGTAGAGCTGCGGTTGAGGCAGCTAGACCGGTGGTCTCTCAGGCAGAGTTCAGGAGATGTTAGCTTCTTCAGTTCAAGGGGGATTCAGATCTTGATGTGGCATATTAGTGGTTGTGTGAGATGGAAAAGATCTTCAGTGTTTTGAGATCTTCTGAGGAAAGGAAGTTGGCCTATGCAATATGTATACTGGCAGGCGAGGCTGAGTACTGGTGGAGAGGCACCAGGAAGATGATGGGGAGCAGAGGTGTGGTTGTAGATTGGGATTGCTTAAAGAGAGTTTTCTTGGAGAAGTATTTCTCGGATAGTGTTAGATACGCTAAGGAGGCGGTGTTCAGGAGATTGCAGTAGGGGAGCCTGTCTGTATCAGAGTATGCTATGAGGTTTGAGCATTTGGCTAGTTTCTACTCTCAGGCCATATCTGAGGCTTGGAGATGTAGGAAGTTTGCAGAGGGATTGAGGCATGAGCTGAAGAGGGTCATAGTCCTTATGTCCATAGAGGAGTTTCCTGCCTTGGTTGAGAAGGCAAAGATTGTTGAGAGATTGGAGGGTGGTGGTAGCAGCGGCAAGGCTGCTAGAGTTCAAGAGGGATCATCTGGATCCAGGAAGGGAGACCAGCAGAGGGGACCCTATGACAGACCTGTTCAATCTTAGAGAGGTGTTGTCACTAGGGGACCTCGTCCTACTACTCCTTAGAGTGGAGCACCATCCGTGCGATGCTATAGATGTGGATGAGCACATGTGGTTAGAGATTGTTTCCATCCGGAGAATGTTTGTTTCAGATGTGGCAGGCCATACCTCCTTTCCAGAGATTGTTAGATGCCATTGACTCCATCTGGGAGTGCTTTGAGGCCACCTAGGCCTATAACTGTAGGGAGAGTTTTCGCTTTATCAGGTGTAGAGGCTTCCACTTCATCAGATTTGGTGAAGAGGAAATGGAAGGAAGCAAGTGAGGATGTTTTGTTCCTGTTTGATTCTGGTGCCACACATTCATTTTTTTTCTGTTGATTGTGTGGGAAGATTGGGTTTGTCAGTGTCTACATTGCACGTTGATTGGTATGTGTCTACTCCGGCTTCAATTTTGTGGTGACCTCGGAGATGCGTGTGAGATGCCCGATAAAGGTGTTTGGTGGGAGGTTCTGGGTGAACCTGATTATGTTGCCTATGGTGGATATCGACATAATCTAAAGGATGGATTGATTATCTGCCCATCACATCCTTATAGATTGTGCTCGGAGAGAGTTAGTATTTTCTTAGTTGGAAGATGAGATGTTGTTGCCAGCGGGTCAGGCTGAGCAGTTGATGAGAGATGGAGCTGAGTGCTTCATGTTGTTTGCCGTTTTGAATGTTGAGACGAAGAGGGCCATCACTTGGATTGAGATTGTCAATGAGTTTCCTAAGGTGTTTCCTAGATGATGTGCTGGGATTGCCACCTATGCATGATGTTGAGCTTAGCATTGATCTGATACCAGGTGTAGGACCAATATCAGTGGCTTCTTGTAGGATGGCTTCAGTTGAGTTGGTAGAGCTGAAGAGACAGATCGAGAATTTGTTGGAGAAATAGATGGTAAGGCCCAATGTTTCTCCTTGGGGTGCCCCGGTACTATTAGTGAAGAAGGATGGTGGGGCCCGTTTGTGTGTTGATTATCGGCAACTGAATAAGTTGACGATAAGGACTGAGTATGTAGTGATTCCTTTTGGTGTCACTAATGCTCCGACAGTGTTCATGGATTACATGAACAGGATTTTCAGGTCATTCTTGGACAGGTTTGTGGTGGTCTTCATTGATGATATTTTGTTGTATTCTAGATCTTTGGAGGATCACCATGAGCATCTAAGGTTGGTTTTAGAGGTGCTGAAGGAGAGGAAGTTGTATGCCAAGCTGTCCAAGTGTGAGTTTTGGTTGTCCGAGGTGAGATTTTTGGGGCATGTGATATCGGTAGAAGGGGGTTGCAGTGGATCCATCCAAAGTGGAGGCTGTGATTTAGTGGGTGCGTCTGAGGACTACTACGGAGATTAGGAGTCTTGTTGAGTTAGCGGGTTACTATCAGAGGTTCATAGAGGGTTTCTCTCGAATAATAATGCCTTTGACTCAACTGACTCGGAAAGATTAGCCTTTTGTTTCGATAGACGCTTGTGAGCAGAGTTTTCAGGAATTGAAGGGGTGATTGACTACTTCTCCAATTTTGGTATTACCCGGCACTGGTAAGCATTTTGATGTGTTCTGTGATGCTTCTCACCGGGGGTTAGCTTGTGTGTTGATGCAGGGAGGGAGAGTAGTGACATATGCTTCGAGGCAACTTAAGACCCATGAGAGCAACTATCCTACTCATGATTTGGAGCTT